TAGAGGAGGTGATTGAGCTTAGGCTTGATTGGAGGAGATGGGAGGTGGTATATGAAAGCCTAATGATTCCAGAGGATCAAATTTTGGCTGAAGATGGTCTGGTTTACGTTTTCCTACTGTGTGCTCATCATTTCTTCCAATATGGTGGAGAAGATGGCTAAACGAGGCTCCTTCGGTATTGGAGAGATGATGAGATGGATAAGGGGGTCAACAATGAGATGGCCTGATCAATCCAATCTAACCCCAAAGGAAGTGACGTGGAATGCATGAGGGGTGCCATATACTCCTCTTCTCATGATGTTTTTTTGACTTTAGGTAAAAAATGGTGGCTCCGTATGTGGCTCAACAAGTTCTATGGATTTGGCATGTCATGATGGGTCTATGGTCATGGGTGACCCAATAGCAAATGTGCCATGAATTGGATTTGGGTTTGGATGCCACTCGTGGACTTACGTATCATGTATGGATTTAATTTTCCATGGGATGGAGATTTGATTAGTTGTCTTGGGGTTCAAATTTAGGTTTAATAGGTCTTAATTTCACCTTTCCTTAATTAATTAATAAAAAAATGAAATTAGGCCATAAAACCATTGGTTGACCAAGATGATTTAGGGTTGACCAATTGAGTCCTAAGGTTGACCATTTGATAAAGTTTGACCAATTGGATCCTAGAGTTGACCAAATGGTCAATGTCATGATCATTGGGTCCAAAGTTAACCGAGTGGTCAATGTGGTGACCATTGGGTCCAGGGTTGACCAAATGATCAATGTGGTGACGTGGTGACCATTGGTCCAGGGTTGACCTAATGGTCAATGTAGTGACCATTGGGTCCAGGGTTGATCAAATGGTCAATGTGGTGACCATTGGATCCAAGGTCGACCAAATGGTCAAGGTGGAGACCAAATCAGGGTTTGTCATCATTGATTTGATCAACTTGGGGTGTCACATGATTTGGGCTCAAATAAGACATATTGAAGATTTGGTCTAAGTTTTATTGGGGGACCCTAGGTGGGTTCAAGAAGTTAATGTTGGTATAACCTAAGATGAATTTAATGATCGTGATGATCATTGGGCTTTTAGGAGAGTGTTTGAGGATTCTGAGCTAATATGGATGGCTCAATACATGTCATATCCATAAATATCAATTTAGGGTAGATTCTTATAAAAGTAAGGTCAACAGGAACTTAGGCACCCGAAAAAATGTTCAACAACCAAAATCAAGTCCTAGATCTTTTAAAAACCATGCTAGATATTCCAAAAAGGTGGTTTTGGTGCTTAGCCATCCGAGTACGGTGTCGGGGTGCCGGTTTAACCCGAAATCGTAATTTTTACCAGGAACACCCGACCAAAGATTTTTTCGATTTGAAAGCTCTGGAAGACTCCATGTGAGTGAAATATAGTTCCATAAATTTGAAACAGAGTATTTTGGTTGGTTATTAATAGGAAAAATTGGTGTCAACGATCGTTGTGAACCACAAAACGAGTAGGATGTCCCAAACCCTAATTTTTTCTTAAAGCACACAGGTGAACTCCATGACTTCTGATGAACGTGGGAGGTTCCAAATAAACATGTGGTGACCTCTAATCATCAAATTAGGGATGGATCACTCCTCATGTTTTGGATATGACTCCTAGAGGAAATTTTTCATGGCATGGATGAATTAGCACCAAATTTAGTTACTTGCCCCGAACAAGTGCTAGAAGGTCCCGAGTGGGTGTCTTGAACTAGCAGATGCTACGAACGATTCAAAGACCACTCTTATTCATGCAAATCACCCTACACTTGTGCATTAAAAATTGATGCCAACAGAGAGATTTTTTATAACATTATGCTGGCACAAGAATTAATGAATGACCTTGATAGAAAGTGTAGGGGAGGTAATATGGTAATCAAACTTGACATCAAGAAAGCTTAGGATTCCACAAGTTGGAATTTTTTTTTCAATACACTGAGAGCAAGAGGATTCAAGGTGCAGTTCTGCAGCTTGATGAGGAGATGGCTTTCAAATAATAAGTATAGTATAATTATAACTGACAACCCTTATGCTTTCTTTTCAGCTAAAAGGGGTATTAAATACGAGGATCCTTTATCTCCAACCATTTTTATAATTGCTTTTAACTATTTATACTGAATGATGAACATATTGTAGGCTATGCATCCTATGGTGTAATTCTCTCATAAATCAAGGGTGATGGTGAGTCACTTGACGTATGCTATTGATGTCATAATTTTTTCAAATGTGGGCAAATGGGCTGTCAAACATACTTATGCTTTGTTGGAGGAGTTTCAGGGTTTATCTGGTTTGAAATTTAGCAAAAATAAATGTAACATTATCTTCGGTAAAGATGTCAAAAAAGAAATGGCCTTGTGGATTGCTGTTTTTACAGGTTGACTTGTGGCTGAACTTCCTTTGAGATATCATTGTGTGGACCTCTTGAAGGAAAGAAGGAAGCAAACTCATATGGATGCTACTTATTATCTTATTGTGGGAGGATTATGTTACTTAGAGTGTTTTAAATAACATTCCTCTACATGCATTGCAGGTTCTAAAGCTTAATTATAACACTCAATTACTGTTGGGAAGGTGCTTTAACAAATTGTTGTGGGGTAAGGGGCATTCCAAGAAAAATATTTGGGGGGGGGGGGGGGGGGGGGGAGATGAAGCCATACTTTGCAGATGGATTTGGGCTTAAAGAGATTTATCATCTAGTTGATATTAACGATATTAAATTATGGTTTAAATTCAGGAAGGGAGAATTCTTATGGGCTCAATCAATGCATGAGAAGTATTGTGTTATGACTGACCCTTCTTATGTTATTTTGAAGGTTGGGAATTCTAAAATGTGGAAGGCTATGCTTAAGGCAAGGCTATATGCTGAGAAATTTATTTATTGGAATATTGGAAAAGGGAAAATTTCATTTTGGAAGGATCAATATGTTGGTGATGAGCTAGGTTGTGAGGTGAATGAGGAAACTCAAAATTTGCTGGTATCGAATTTCTAGGCCAATGGTGAGGGGAACATTTATTTGCTGAGGAGTAATGTGGGTGATATTACTTCCTTCAGCTCTAAAATCCCAATAGATTGCACAAACAAAAATTCTTTTTTACTCAAATTTCCTAGAGATGTTTCTATATTAAAGGCTATTTGAAAAAATACGCACTATTTTGATCCGGTAAGATGAGAAAGTAAAGTTTTGTGTTGGGCACTCTCTCCCTCCATGTTTTTTTTACATTTGGAGACATTTCCATAAGCCATTGCCTTATGATGATATATTAAAACTTAAGGGACTGATATTTGCTTCTTAGTGTCCACTATGTAGGGCAAAGGAAGAACATGTTGATCACCTATATTTTAAATGTTCCTTCACTATTAAAATCTGACAGATGTTGAGTGATATTTTCCATATTGCTATCCCCACTACATGGGGGGATATAGAAGTGTGTGGGGATACATGGAGTCCAAAGAATAGGAAAGATCATTTTATGAGAATTCTTCCTTATATATTAATGTGGTTTATATGATGGCTCAAAATTCCAATAAGCATTTGGGAGTCAGTTATGTTGAGAAAAAGATTTTATGGCTTATATACATAAAATTGCTACATATGGTGCAAATAATATATCCTTTTTTAGAAGTATCACTTTCTTTCATGTTGAAAGGGGCCTTCTAAATGGGAAGGCATGTTTTCTACCCAAATTGGTGGATCAAGCCTGTACCAAATTGGGTTAATGTCAATACTAATGGTAGTTGGGGAGGAGGCAAAGCTGGAGCAGGTGCTCTCTTTAGGGATGTGAATGGAAATTGTTTGTGTTATGTTGCTTCTCTTTGTTTGGCTGCTTCTCCAATAGAGGCACAAGTTTGGGTTATGTGGTTAGCTATTGTTATTGTTTGACCTACTAATTGACATTTTTTGCAGGTGGAGGTGGACTCATCCCAGCAATTGGAGTATCTCCGAAGAAGATGGGCAGCACCATGGAATATTGTTATATGATAAACATAATTTTTAGGGCTATTCATAATATTAATATTGCTTGGAGCCATATTTACAGGGAAGGAAACAAGCATGCTCTTTGGTTGGCTAGGAAAGGAGCTCAAATTTCATATGTGGTGGTTGGACAGTGCCCCCCTATAGAGTTGTAAAGGCTAGTACAATGACACAATCTAGAGATCCCGTACCTGAGACCTTAGTGGAATGTTTCTTGCTTTTTTCATTCTTTTTGGATATTGGGTGTTTTGTAATGTGAGTGGTATACTTTAGAGGTGGAACCTCAGGTTTTTCTTTTGGGCTGAGTTGTACATTTTGCTTTTGTTTTTTATAGAAGGACCTACCTCCAAAATCATGTAAAATTTTCCTGATATCAATAAAATTCCTTACGGGGTTAAAAAAAAAGTATATACAAAGGAGTAAATAAAATTGCATTGAATAAGAAAAACATGAAATACGATAGAGAGGGAGCTTATCTTGCTTAGTTAGTCCAAGAAGAAGAAGAAGGAGAAGAAAAATTGGGCAACTGCAGAGATGAAGCATGGAGGAGAATGATGAAGAAAGAGAGCTGATGCTAGGGCTGCGGTGTGAGAAAGGGGAAGCTTGGTTCAGTGGCTGTAGAGAGAATACTCGATGGCTACTAGATTAGGGAGTATGATTCAATGAATAGTTGAAAGAGGCGGTGGAGAGTCGGTAAAGCCACATGCAAGGAAGAGGAATTTAATCCATATTGAAGAATGCACGTGGAAAGCCAAATCGGGAATACAACAGTAAATGAGATTGCAATACATACGTGATCGTGTGATTCACACGATCCAAAAAGGAACGTGGGTCTTGGGGTTCAATAGGGGGAGGAGAAAAGGAAACAAAAAATTCAAATCTTACAATAATTTTTATTAAATTTTTATTTCCAAAACAAATATTTGGCCCATTACATTCTTTAAGAACGATATATTCAAAATTTATAATTAAACTCTTTTTTTCTACTTTCCACGTTCAATAGCGTCGCCCTACTTTAAGAAGGTTTTGAGGGCAAGCAGCCTTTATGAATTTGTCAAAATGCGCCTCTCTCTCTCTGTCTCTCTCTGGCTGTGTTATGGCCCTCACGTTGTCCCTCCCGCTCCCTCTGTATTAATTAATCCATGTTCTTCCCTGTTTCCCATTTTCTTCCAATATACCGCATAGCTACGAAAAATCCAACATAGGCAATCTATCCTTAATTCAAAGTTTCTGTCTCTTCTCTTGCTCAACCGCACCGCTTTTTTGAATTGTTTTCAAAATCGAACCATTTCAATACTTTCTGAATTGTTTCCAAAGTCTTCTACTTTTTCTTTCTTTTCCACTTCCATTCTGTTTTGTGACAGTTGGTTGGGCTGGTTGGCTTTTTTGGTTTTCATGAGCTTTCGTCCACTTTGTTGATGTGCTGGAGCTTTCTATGTCTTTAACCGCTGGAGCTTGTTCTAGTTTTTCCAAAGTCATGGATTTGGAAGAGAACAAAGAGACTGGTAAGACAAACGGAAACTCTGCGAGCGAAGTAGATGGGGAAGAAAAGAAAGAGGAGGAAAACGGGAAGCTTGGAAGATGCTTGAGTGAGTTTTCCCTTGACGATGAGGAGGAAGAAGAAGAAGACGGAGATGCAGACAAGGTACTTGATTTGGGGCCGCAGGTTACCCTCAAGGATCAGATGGAGAAAGATAAGGTCTTCCTTTTGTCTTTCTTTATATTCTGCTCATGGTGTTTCTGTTGATGCTTAATGCCAAATTCCTCTTCTTGTTTTTGTGATTCTTTTCTGCGGCAGGATGATGATAGCCTGAGGAGATGGAAAGAGCAGCTTTTGGGGAGTGTGGATTTGAATTCAGTTGGAGGTCAATTTTTTCTCCTTTTACCCAACTTTTTGCCTTTATGTTTTGATCCTTCGATGCAACACTTTGTTTAACTTGCTTGATGCAGTTTTTGTACTGCATGAGAGTGCTAGTTGAAAGCTTAGTATATAGATTGGAAGGCTTTGTTTTGAGAGCACTTTTTTTTTTCTTCGTGTCCTGTTTGTGGTTGAAATCCTTGCTTCTCTTTGGGTGATTTTGGTTTAATGAATTTGAATAAGAGGCACAGAATCATAAATAAAAATTGAAATGATTGAAGATTTGATTTGAAATTAATGTCACCCGCTTGTTTTGTCGAGTAAAAATTGAGTGAAAATAGTTTTATTTTCGATTTGTTTGATGAGAAATTGAGTGTTTTCTTCCTTAGTGAGGAAAGAACAAATTACTTTGCTAATACCCAAGAAATTGTCCTTCCTCTTTTTTCACAAAGGTTTGGTGAGGAATGCCAATAAAGATTATAACTGTTCGTTTTTGTTTGTTGAATTAAATTACTTATTAAATACATTAATATCATACACCAAAATGAATTTTTTAGGTTAAATGCATTTACATTCACTCAAATTCCTTCAAAACAAATTTATCTTCAAAGATATGTGGGGATTAGTGTTAGGAATCATTATTGAAATTGCTAACCATTTCGTAAAGTAATGACTGTGCAGTGGAGTGGAATCTCCTATATATTTAACTGAAATCCATATTTAAACTTTGACCGGCATTTACATACATGCCACCCAATTCCTATTTATTTACATATCTAACACCTAAAATTTGTTTTTTACATTTATATTACCCAAAACTTTCAATTCACATAAAAATAACATAGTCTTAACTTTTGAAAATAGAAATACATCTCTTCATGCAAAGGTAAGGTGGTATGTCTGTAAAAATTGAAGTTAATGATACGTAAATACATAGGAATTGAGTGGTATGTTTGCAAATCTTCCTTAACATTTTCTTGTGATGCAGATAAATTGGACCCTGATGTCAATATCTCGTGCCTTTCAATTATTTCCCCTGGAAGGGCAGACGTAGTCCTGCCATTGCCCGTGGTCCCAAACTCAAAGGGTGTATGGTTTACTTTGAAAGAGGGGAGCTCTTACAGACTAAAGTTCACCTTTTCTGTCAGTAATAATATTGTCTCTGGTCTGAAGTATATCAACACGGTTTGGAAGACTGGTGTTAGGGGTATGCTTTAATGGTTAATGGGTCACTATGGTTTTTGAGGAATTTTTAATTTATTGAAGAGATTTTGTTCCACACTGGTTTTGAATTTTGGCAATCTAATGTTCAGTGGACAGAACAAAAGAGATGCTTGGTACTTTTAGCCCTCAGCTTGAGCCTTACATATATGAGACACCAGAAGAGATCACACCTGCAGGAATATTTGCTAGGGGATCATACTCTGCAAGAACAAAGGTAAAACTCACAGAATTTCTATCTTTTTAAATATTACCGAATTGAAGTTTGCCACTCCTATCTTTCATAATTTGCTCATATACTTAATAATCTAGAGCTACAAGCTACTGATATGAACTTCGTAATTTCTTTATTGCATTTTGAATTGGACCACAGCTGTTGAGCTTATGATTCTACTATGCTTGTCTATGAAAGAAATTTTGGTATTGTGTGAATAAAATTTGGTTCAACTGTATGGGTTGGGTCAAAAAGTATTGGGGTTTGTGAATGTTGGTCAGATTAGAACATACAACAGCTGGGATGCACTTTTAAGTTTTGGTTATATCAGTTTAATCTGGTTAATCAAAGTTGATGGTTTAGGTGGATCCAATCATCTTTATTTAGGCTCTGTTTGGGGCAGTTTATCCGCTACGGCGGCGTTTTGAAAACGGCCTCACCGTTTGGAAACTGTGTTTGAGCAGCTTATTCCAAAACGCAGTTGGTTGTTTACACTAAACACGAAACGCGGGTCGAACCCTGCAGTCCGCGCTTCTAAATAAGCGGCTTATCTGGATAAACATAAGCTGCTCCAAACGCACCCTTAATCTATGTCAACATCTTGAGATTGGAGCATTTTAAATATTATATTGATCTTGGGATATGTGTTTTGCTTGAGCTTATTGGCCAATTTATTATTGTTGCTTAAAAAATTAGTTGTTTTTCGACAAAGGGAACAATTTCATGATTCATATCCAAATAGTGTTTTCCATGTTGTTTTGGCATAAGGAAAAGAGGGCAAATGTTGGTGTCTCTTAAGCACAATCAATGATAAATTTAATTAAGGCTTGCAAAGCCAATGGGTTTGTGCATAAGTGACAAGGTGGAATTTAAAGTTGATTTTGGAACACTGTTTTAATTAAACTTTAGTTTTAAGCCAGTTCACTGATGGTAATTAATATTTTAATTATTTTGAAAGAAAGGAAACACAATTTTATTGTCTTTAACCAAATAAAATGAAGCATACAACAACGATTTTATTTGAACCATATATTTGTGCAAAAATTATTATGAAGATAATACAAATATATCTATTTGCTTGTTGACCTCATTTTTGTGAGGTCTTCTCTTCTCCTCCTTAGGAGCCTAGGATCTAGCTCTAGGAGTTCCTATTGACCGTCCTAGAAAACTA